CTCTCTCTCTCTCTCTCTCTCTCTCTCTCTCTCTCTCTCTCTCTCTCTCTCTCTCTCTCTCTCTCTCTCTCTCTCTCTCTCTCTCTGCTCCTCCGTTAAGCTTGGATGACCCATCATATTGACGATGGACGACGGACAGCGGATCCCGACTGGACGCCTCCCGCATTCGGTCACGTGACGAGATCAGTAGGGATCCCGTCCACACTTCATTCATCGTTCTTGAAGGACGTAATGTCACGTGACGAGACCAGTAAGGATCCCGACTGTTATTGTCTGGAAATTCGGGCAGTTGTGACGTGATTCCCCGATGTAATCGCTCGTGCGCATACCTTACTCGCCTGTGTGCAGGATATACTGTATTAGCAGTACAGTACTATTACATTACAGTGGTTACACTACTTTACACAATTTTATCTTATATTACTGTAGTATATGAGCAAAACAGGGAAAAACTTGGGTAGCGGTGATGTGTTTAGCTGGAACGAAGAGCGTTCGACGCATCCACCTCTCGCATTTCCCTATATATCCCCTCTCTAACCGCACAATTCTCTCTCTCTCTCTCTCTCTCTCTCTCTCTCTCTCTCTCTCTCTAGCGCGCGCGCGCGCGCGCGCGCGCGGTCACAAGTTAAATGCTACACATGGAAAATCCGTTCCTCAGCATCCAACTTCTGACGCTCGCCTTCCATCCGGCCGCATTCACGGCCAATTTCAGGCGCGATAGCCCCCAGGGTGAGCATGACCACCGAGAGCCAACCCAGTCTCAGGTCGGATCATTCTGTCCATGGCACACGCTCCCTGCAAGTGCCGCGGCCAAGAGCCCAGTCCCCAGAGCGCGGGCTTCCCGCAAGGGCCGCCCCCACGAGCGCGGGCTTCCCGCAAGAGCCACCCCCAAGAGCGCGCGCACCCCGCAAGAGCCACCTCCAAGATCGCGCGCACACCGCAAGATCCGCCCCCAAGAGCGCGCGCACACCGCAAGATCCGCCCCAGCAGCGCGCGCACACCGCAAGAGCCGTACCCAAGAGCGCGCGCACACCGCAAGAGCCACCTCCAAGATCGCGCGCACACCGCAAGAGCCGTACCCAAGAGCGCGCGCACACCGCAAGAGCCGCCGTACCCAAGAGCACCCGCACCCCGCAAGAGCCGAGCCCAAGAGCGCGCGCTCTCCGCAAGCCCATCCCCAAGAGCGCCGTGCCGCCGAAGAGCCATCCCCGTGAGCACGGGCACTTGAAGTGCCGCAGACGCGGTCGAAGAAGAGAAAGAAGACAATGGTGCCGCAGAGTGCGGAGCCGCCTCTGCAAAACGGAATCAGGCAGAGGCGCCTCTGGTCCCACGGCCATTCACCATTCCCCGAACAAGAAAGGTGACGGTGACGGTGACGTCAAGAAGCCGCTCTGTGAAAACAAGAAAGGAGGCCAGACGAGGAAGGAGAGAGAGAGCAGTTATTAGAGTGAAAATTACATATCGCAGCGGGTAGAGAGCCGATCCGATGACTCAGAGACTACGAGAGTAAGAAGCAGAGGAAGGAGGCGAGATCAGTGCGCCAAGGGTTTTGCGTCTTGGTGGAGAAGCAAGAGATTGATGGGAAAACGCGGCAGAGGAAGGCGAAAGCGTGAACGGCAGACGAGGGCAGCGGAGAGGGCTACAACTGATGGTCTTTCACTTCATGAGGTAACTTTTTTCAGCGGCAGAGGGGTTTCCTGCTTATATGCTTTCAGCGGTTCTCCCATACCAACGTAAGCACACGCCGGGGATGATGACGTCCAAGACGAGCTGAACGTATATAAGCAGCCTGAAGCCTAGTCGAGCTGCTTTTGGAAGATGGCAGCGGAGAGGAGGGCTAAACTAAAATCGTAAGAACTGCCTGAACGAGGAAAGAGAAAAAGGAAGGAAAGCGGGAGAGAGAGAGAGAGAGAGAGAGAGAGAGAGAGAGAGAGAGAGAGAGAGAGAGAGAGAGAGAGAGAGAGAGAGAGAGAGAGAGATTGGGATGGAGCCAAGAGAGGGGGTGTGGGTCGGGTAAGAAAGAGAACGAGTTAAGGAGGGATACGTGGGCCTGCAGGCGCGCGAGAGAGAGAGCGAGAGAGAGAGAGAGAGAGCGAGAAAGAGCGAGAAAGAGCGAGAGAGATCGAGAAAGAGCGAGAGAGACAGACAAACAGGCAGATACGGACACTGAGACAGAGACATATATAGTGTGACACAGGGAGAGAGAAGGGGGGACACAGAGCGGCAGGCAGACAGACTGTGCTGCTAGCGATGTCCGAAAACTCGAGCCMCCCGCCGAATCCGTTTAGTACGTGTGCTGCGCACGTGCGGCAGTGGATATCTGTGCTTTTTGTCGTTTAGTGTCGATTTTTTTTTTTAATGCCGATCGCGGATACGTATATTTTTCTGGCGGCGGGGAGAGCGGAGAAGGGCGCAGAAGGACGCAGCACGCCGGGGACGGGGGTAGGGGCTAAGGGGGGGGGGCGGCGCTGTACAGGGGATCAGGCGGACGATAAGAGAAGTGAACGCTGAACAGAGAGCAGACGGGGCGGAAAGGGCCAAATAGAAATGAAGAGAATACAGGAGCTTTGTCCGAGGTCTTCCAAACCATCATCCTCGGTTGATTATACACCTACACATGCACAAAAGAAAAAAAATATGGCGGTGCATCTTTCCATGTTCTGGCAGAAGATTCATTCTCGTTTTGCACTTTTGGAGAGTAGTGCAGCGACGCCCATAAATACATATATATGCATTTACACACACACACACACACACACACACACACACACACACACACATGTTGTTATACAGAACTACCCGGTGAAAAGTACGCAGAGAGGGAGAAGAGAACGACAAACGAGGGTGTGACAGACTGTTTCGCCGGGATTTCACCGACTCGTCAGGAGGCTAACCCCTCTACAAATACATATCTTTATAAACATGTGTATATGTGTACATATATATGATGTCATGGCACGGAATTAATGAAACTCCAAATAAGTACACCCCAAGCACATTAGTTGTGTGAAACCGTGTCGCACAATAGACCTCGCCACACCACAGTCGAAGCTAAAAAAGTATGAATGCATGTCCCCGCAGAAAATGGCAAGATGCATCCGATTCTATTCATAGTAACGGATGGATCTTGCCACTCTCTGCGGTAACATGCATTCGTACTTTTTTTCCTTTCGACAGTGTGATTTGGCGAGGCCCAATGAGTGTGTATGTGGGAAAAAAAAAAAACGCTAACCTTGGAAATCTTGCGGTCGCGCTGCGGGAACGAGTTTGTGAAGAGAAGCTTGAGCGCGTTGTTGTCTTTCCCGCCACCAAACGCGTTGTTGCCTTTCCCGCCACCAAACGCGTTGGTGTCTTTCCCGCCACCAAACGCTGCACATTTGGAGAAAAACGACCGCAACCCGCCATTCCGCTTGAAGGACGGACATTTCCCGCCATCCCGCTTGAAGGACGGACATTTCCCGCCATCCCGCTTGAGGGACGGACATTTCCCGCCTTCCTGCGGGTCGCTCTCTAACTTCTTCGCCGTGATGGATACCGCTGACCCAGGAGGAAAGGTACTCTTCCACCGTCTGCGCCCCCCACCAACCAAGTCTCTTCCGCTAATCCTTTCCGCTTTTCCCCTCCTCCCCTTCTCCCTCCCAACCCACGAGATACTCGCATCGTCTTCGCCTTGCTCTGCGTTATTGCCCTCCTCTTTCGCTCCCCCCTTGGTTGCCCAGCCACCATAGCCACATCGTCTCCCTCGATTCATCCCCATCATCAGGCGCTTTGCACCCACCTCTCTCCAAAACGTACTGCAACACCGAAACTGTCGGAGCCAACCACCATTCCGCGCACGTTGGTGAAGAAGAGAGGAGGAGGAGGAGGAGGAGGAGGAGAAGGAGGGGAAGGAGGAGGAGGAGGAGGAGGCGGAGGGAGAGCTGGAAGAGCGAGTGGCGACGGGGGAGGAGGAGGAAGATGAAGCGGAAGGGGGCAAGCAGTAGTCCCCATGTCTGATCCGATCGTGATCGCTAACCGCCAGTGTGACCTTCCTTACGCCCAGCGATGGCGCGCAACCCCCATCAGAAGATGACGACGAGGACGAAGAACTGCTGTCCACCATAGCCGTCCTAGGTCTCAACAACGACGACCCTAAGGCACACCTCGCCGCCATCGCCGCCATTGTTTCCCCTGTCACTTGCTCTTCCTTCTGCGCTACGGTAGTCTTCTCTCTTGTTTCTCCTTTTCGGGGGCGTCCTCGATAACCCCGCCAGTCGCAGGTCGGCTGTCGGGGTCGGGGTCCCTAACCACTGGAGAGAATTTGGAGTCGGGGTACTGTAGCACCAGAAAAGAATGGGATTTTTCTCAAAAAACAAAACCAAAAAAAAAAAAAATGGGACCGATTGGAACAGCTGCTGTTTTCTTCTGTGACAGACAATCTGATTCGACGATGGCGGGATCGAACGGGCGATCTCTGGCTCAAGACCCAGATAGCCCGGCAGCCGTGAGACTCTGCTTTCCCGCCGTCTTCACCCGAATAGAGCGCCTGGTAACTATTGTCGTATATGGACTGGAAATTGCACCAAATACATACAGCTCTATAATGACCAGTCGTTCTATTCGGGTGAAGACGGCGGGAAAAAAAAAAAGCAAACCAAAGCACAGCACGTTTTTTTAATCTTTAGGGAGCGAGAGAGAGACTTGGGGCCTCGTTGCACGACTACTAACCCCAACGCAGTTTCTACATATAGTGAACCGAAGGCAGAGAGGGAGTATAAATAAATAATCCGCAGGTATATGAGTAGCTAGTGACACGTGGCAGACCAGTGAAGAAACGGCAGCGGTGAAGAAGAGGGATGCAGAAACGGCGAATAGTGAGGATGCAGAAACGGCGACGATAATAATGAGGACAGCGACGATACGATGCCATGCTGGAGGAGGAGAAGTAAGAGGACAGTGTTGAATGAAGTTTTGAATGTGTGGGCCTGATGGCGATGGTGACGATGAAGGTGGGAGTTCAGCCAGACAACAGAGAACACCTCCTCAACGTGTCCAGCTGATGTGGCAAGATACGGAAATCATACTGGACGGATGAATCTGACCCGCTTTTCGACCACGCAGCGAGACGCGCGGCCCAAGTTTCCCTCCATGGCAATGCGATGTCAGTGTGAGAGCCCGCGGACGATTTTTGCCTTAAATGCGGTGGGAGGTGGGAGGTGGGAGGTGGGAGGTGGGAGGTGAGGTGGAAACCCCCTATCTAACCCCCCGGTCTTCCCCTCAGGAAAAGAAGGGTATGATTTGGCAGGTGCGGAGGCCTTGCGATGCGAATCTTCGCCGTACCTCGCACGTTACATCCCCTGCGAGTAACGTCCATCCACAGTACGTCAGATACCACGGAACATTCCTCCACATACTCACGGGAAAAGATAATCACCGTCGATATTTTTGTTTCTTTTTCTTTTAGCCCAACCAATTCAATTACCTGTCACATCTGGACAGGCCTGTACACGGCAAATGGAACGGTGGAATGATCGTCCCGGGCGCTTCCAAGGACGGGACGAGTCCAAAAACAGATCAGTCAGCTCAGTTGGTAAGGCACACGAGTTGCATTCAGGACTTCGTGGGTTGAATCCTCAACTGCCTCCTCAGGTATGTGTTTGGGCATACTTGTTGTCCTACATATAGAGATAGCCCGCCCGCCCTCCGGCCAGCATTAGCAGGACCTTGGCCAATATTGTTGGGTGCTTCCATGGACAGCATGAATCCGAAACGGACAGCTATCCAGCGGCCTACCTCAGTTGGTTCGGCTCGCAGGTGGCATTCAGGAGGTTGTGGTTGGAGCCCCATGAACGCCTGCGGCACACGTAGTGCCAACCAACTGTGATATTGGGCTTGATTCCCCTGATCGGTATTAGCAGGGTCTATGACCAACACGGGTGTGAGTGTGAGCGTGAGTGGCTTGTGTGTGATGTGTGGGAGAGTGTTGGCCATAGCCACTGCTGCTATTCTATGGGGGGTGGGGGAAGTAGATGGGAGGCACAGCTACTGGCAAAATGCTCGGTCTTTGCGTTAGCCGGCCCTCCCCACTGGCAGCCCCAGCCTTGCTGAAAAGAGAGCTCGTTGTCTACAAAATTTTCGGCGGCCCAGCGCTGTCGATAAACCCAACCGGCGGCGGGCGGCCTCCGAAAATGGCCCGTGGCCGATAGCTGGATGTACTGGTGGTGTAATTGTGAGAGGTAGCTATGCTTGCAGGGGTCCCCTGTATAGGCTTAGGAGTAGTGGTAGGTAGATAGTGAAAGGTGAAATTGAGAGAATAATATAGGTCAGTCAAAATACAAATAAAAAAATACAAATCAGCTCAGTTGGTAAGGCACACCGGTTCCATTCAGGCTTCGTGGGTTCAATCTGCATTCTCCTGACGTATATGTCTGGGCATGGTTGGTGTCCTGCCTGTAGAGATAGCCAGACCTTGAGGCCAGCATTAGCAGGACCTCGCCCAATATAGTTGGGTACTATGCAACAACGATCTTGGTTGTTAGACAGTGCTATAGGTTGGTGGGGGGGGAAGGGGGAGGTGCTCCAGGCACTAGTACTGCCGGTTTCGCCTGCCAGCAACGCCTACCCATCCCGACATCACCGTTTTTGAGGGGTTGGTACAACTTTGCTCTCAAAACGACACAAACCTACCCTATGGGTTGTGGAGAGGTTCATGAGGGGTTGATACAACTTTGCTCCCGCAAGGACACAAACCTACCCTGTGGGTTGGGGAGAGGTACATGTTCGTGGGTTTTCCACCGTAGTGTACATAGGGTAGTGAGAGGAAGAGAGATGAGCAAATACAAAAGCAGAAGGAAGCGACTGAGAGAAGGATATACCTTCGTTTTCATAAAACAGGTTACGTTATAAGTAGTGAAAAGGGATGCTTTTGAGAACTCATACTCATTGCTTCGCTCCTTTGTTTTTTAGTCTAATTTATTAGAGCACCAAAATAAAATAAAAAAAAAAGTGAAAAGTGAAAAGTAAAAAAAAAAAAAAAAAAAGTGGCCGAGCGTATTTTAACACTGCCATCTTTGGCGATTTTTTATTTTATTTTGGCTTGGTAAAATCGCTTGAAAATTTATATACATATAGTTAATGTCATATAAAACTCAAACAAGAAATGTAAATAAAAACAAATACTTTTTTGGCTGAAAAATATTTTTTTGTGAGGGTCATACCCCTCAAGTTCAGACCCTGAACGGGACCCGAACGCCCGTACATACAGGTCGGCCCGGGGAGGGGTTCACCAGCCCGTATGCATGGAGGTCCCTGGGTCGACCTCAGGCTCCATATGTACGGGCGTTCGGGGTCCTAACCCGACGGTGTTTATCCCCTGCCAAAAATGGTTTCGGGGCCTAAAAATATATATTTTTTTTTTGAATGTCTTTTTGCGAGTTCTCTATGATGTGAGGTACGTGCCTATAAAGTTTGACGTCATTTTACTAAGCAAAACAATAATTAAAAATCGCCAAAGATGACGGTGTCAAAACATGCTCGCCCACTTACTGATTTATTTTTTTTCTCACTTTTTACTATTTGTTTTCACTTTATTGAGGGGTCTAAACAATTTTATTATTTTTTGAAACTTTTTGCATGGGTTTTATATTATGTGAAGTACAAATCTGTGAATTTTCAGGGCATTTGACTGCGCCAAACAAAAATGAAAAATCGTCGAAGATGGCGGTGTCGAAAATGTGCTCGCTCACTCACTAATTTTAATTCTATTTTTATTTTTATTTTTTTTATATTTTTATTATTTTTTTTATATTTTATTTTTATTTCGAATTTCGTAAGGAATTTGGATGTAATGCTCATGAAAATATTGCTTATTGCTAGGTTACTTGATCGGACATCCGAGACCCCCCTGACCGTCCGGGGATTGTCCGTCGGACAATCGGTCGGACATCCTGCCCGGGCAAATTATCCAAGCCCGAACGGAAAAAAAAAAAAAAAAAAAAAAAAAAAAAAAGTTCTCCAAAAAATCTGAAAGAAAACTATGTTATGCAGAATAATAAACTGAACAACGTTTGTCTAGGGATGATGTCAAAATTCGTTGTCAAATTTAAAATAACAAATAAAATTAAAGACATCTCCGGTTTTTTTTTTTTTTTTTTTTGCTTTTAGTTGTTAAAATTGGAGTTGTCCAGGCCCGGACGTCCGTGACCCCCCTGACTATTCGCCGAGGACGTCCTGCCATCCGATAACTAGTAACATAGGTTTATTGGCTTTTAAATTTTCCCTTACAACATTGTTCATGGTAGGGACTTATGCCAGCAAGGTGGTACGAGCCCCTGGTGATAGAAGCAAGAGTTCGATGACTCCGATCTATTCGTGGGGAGCTGCACCTAATGGAAACCGGGTCTAGCGTCCCTCATAACAACAGATATTCGACAAAGATAAAAATTTAAAACTTTTCATGAAACCAGTCCAGACAAACCAAATAGAGTTTTTCATCTATTCAGGCCCCAAATGCTTAGTTTTACATCGGTCTGTGTGTAAATCTAGGGAACAAACTGGCAAATGAAATCAAGTAGGATCATTATAGTTGCCACTTGCCTTCTTAGGGAAAATCTCATTGTCATAGAGCCCAATCTTTGTGCCACTTGTAGGTGCAGAGCAGGGAAAACGTCAGAAAATTCCTCTTGTACTCCTGGGAAGGGAAACGTCCTCTTCCCTAAAGTTGAGGCGTCCTCTCTCTCTCTCTTTCTGTGTGTGTGTATGTGTGTGTATGTGTGTGTATGTGTGTGTGTGTGTGTGTGTGTGTGTGTGTGTGTGTGTG